TGGTGGGGCGCGGGCGGAGCAGACGTCGCCGCGCCGTCATCCAGAGACGCCCCGTCATCCAGAGACGCCCCGTCATCCAGAGACGCCCCGTCGCTCTGCTCCACTGACTCTGGTTCTAGTTCCGTTTTCTTCAGGAGTGAAGAAGTTCCCGACTCGGAGCTGGAGTCCTGAGATCCACGAGCTCCGACGACGAGCTCCTCCGAGAACCGTACCTTTTTCTGAGTGGAGGTACCTTCTCTGGAGGAACAGGGAGCGGTCACTTCACCGCCCTCGTCAGACGGACTCAACGTGTCTTCACTTGGTGACCCCTGACCTTTCTGCTCTTCTGTGTCCACATCTGGGAGGGCGTCCAGTTCCTCCAAGAACTCCTCCAGTGTTGTATCAGGCTACGAGGTTTGGTCAGAAACAGAAATTAGTTCGGGAGGTTCCTGTAGACCAGTGGTTCTCAAACTGTGGTACGTGCGCTCTCTAGTGGTACGCGGGGGAAATTTCATATTTTCACGTTTACATTTTCAATTGAATAAATCTGAAACTTACTATTCACAATTAATAGAACATTTAGAAAATATGTAGCTACTTGTGAGATTGTGAAATAGGATGTCTGGTCTGTTTTTATTTATCTGTTTTGTTTTTTTCAAGTCTGTTGCTCACGTAAGCACAGGCAGCACGGAATCATGGGATCACCTGCAAGTTGAACGTGGAACGAGCCGAGGAATTCTAATGTTGGTCATCATGGTGGTACAGAGTAGAAAAATTTAACCTTTTTAAGGAACATATCACAAACTAATAGTTTAGGTCAGATCAGGGAAAACTATGGCCCGTGGGCCTGATACGGCCCCCTGGCCTTGCTAATCCGGCCGACCAAAACAGTGGTTCGAGGTCTGGTAAAGGCTGATGTCGATCCTTATGTTTCCTGCATCACAACCAATCAATCACCTGTCATTCCAGTTGGTTAAATTATCTTTGAAAACTTAGGTTTATTCTTGTACGTTTTAGCTAAACTATTTCCGCCCAGTATTCTACGTCCAACCAGTACTGAACCGACCCACCGGTCAAATTATGTACCTGACATTTTGGTTCATACTCTCACCTGTGAATTGTCTCCCTCTTCATTTTCTTGCCATCTGAAAAACAAAAAGAATCTCTTTAACAAACGTGTAAAAACAAATACATATTTTACTCAAATATATACATTCCACTTAAATTTAAGGATGAAATTAAACTTTTATTAATCTGTAGATCAAGGTTCATGTTGATAGAGTGAAGTGAGTGAAGTGTTCAAAACCACGTCATTATTGTCTGTCCCGGACGGGACTATAAAGTCAACAATCCTCAGCGTGTTTGAGACCGTATGAAATATACTGAACACGTAAACTTAAATATCGTAATATCGTAATAAACGTAATTACGTAAATTGTCGTTAGAGAAAAAAAAAACATTAGGACAAAAGTGAGGCCGACATGGGGGGTGAGAGGGGGGGGGGGTGACTAAATGAGGACTACAGTGAGAGCAGTCATAGATCATCCTCCAGGACTGTGGTTCTGTGCCTGTTTGACATCAGGAGTCAACAGTCCAAGTCCTCTCAGTCCGACATCACTGCAGCCTTGTTCATCAGTCGATGTGACCGAGACCTCTGGGCTGCCACGGTCCACAAATTATACATAATGTCTCATGACATTCATGGGTTTTTCTACGAGACAACGTGTCCTCACATCCATTTCACATATTCTATTAGTTACATGAGGGTTTTTCTGGTTGCAGTTTATTATGGCTGTGGTGAGGAACATGACAGTGGTCCAAACTTCATCACCATCACCATCATCATCATCATCACCATCATCACCATCATCGGCCTGTTGTTGTTCTCAGTACTGGACTACATCCTGTTTAGCGGTCACTGACCTCCTAGCCCTCCCCGTCAGACGATCTTTGCCTTTTGCTTTGCTGCTCATCACTTGGACTCTTTTTCCTCCTTTGTCTTTCCCTCGTTTCTCCTGACCTGGGACAGAGGAACGCATGTTTTATAATGTTTCCCCTCAATACAACGACCTTTTATTTTTCTTAAATATACAATAAGGACAAGGATTTTTGATTTAGAGTCCAAAAAAAAAAGAGTTAATAAAACAGGTTTGTTTACCTTTTGGCTCCACATTTGCCCTGTTTTGACCTCTTCTTGAACTTCGTCCACCTGTAAAGACACATAATAGATACAATAGATGTATAAATTATTATTGATTGTCTTTTTCTCGTTTTTTTTTTCTCAGTTGGGAGGATGTCTCACCTCTGCTACTTGGCCCCCAGTCTCTCTCAGGCACAGATTTGTCTGTAAACCTAAAGAAGGAGTTGGAAACATGATCATTTTTTTTTATTTTCCCTCAGAGTAAAAGACAGTTTATCCACAGCAGACGGGCAGCAGTGAGATCCTCCAAATTATGAATGACTCTTTACGATGATCAAAGTGCAGGAGAAGCAGAGGACTTTTTTTTTCTTTTTCATCCTCCAGTCAAAGAAAGGTATTTTACAACCAAGGGAACGACCTAAACAGATGAATTATGTAGATGAATCTATTCTTACTCCCGGTCCTTGTTTTATGGCCTGCCAAATAAGGGAAGGCATTTCATCCCTTATCCTTAGTCTAAAAATAGAGTCTCCCTCCTCATCTCTTTACATTTTGATGTTTTGGGTTGATTGTTGGTTTTTTATTCACAGTAATGTCTACGACACACTTACTGTAGTTACTCCGTAGCTTTGTTCCACAGCCTAAGTTCAAATCCAGCACAAATGTCCTGACGTTAATCCTTCAATCACTTACTGTGGGATTAAATGACAGGATGGAGCTTTGGCCTGTGTTTATCCCCGGCACATTTTTCATTTCAGAGAAATACGTTTTAATGTTAATGTTCAGAAACAGAAAAAAAAAAGTAATGGTTTATAATATGTTAATGTGACTTTGTTCTGTTTTGTGTCTTATCTAACAGATGCTGATCTGTTTGATATCTATTAATAAAAGCAGGGCCGTAGAGTCGCTATAAAAAGATACAAATATTGACTGTGTACTGTGGTAAAAATAGAGAGAAGTGAACTGAGGGAAAAGTTCAACCGTTGGCTTTTAATGTTCCGTGTACACAAGCTGAAAACCCCGCTCAGACCAGTTGACCAGTTGATGACTCTTTCATTCCAACATAATTAAATAATTAAAAAGTCACCTGTCATCTTTACAGCAGCAGACAGCATTTCTATGTCATAAAAACAAAGTCATGAAATAAACAGAATAAACAATAACAATAACAAAAACCAGATTAGAGTTGGAGGTGCTGTGATACTGCAATCTGATTGGTGGCTTGAAAAAAACGTGTTTAAACCAAAATCTTATTTTTTGGTTACCATGTTAATATGTTCACCTGGCTTGATGTTAATGTAAAAAGAATATATAATGTATTTTCCCCATAAAGAGCTGCAGCTTGTAGTCAATGTATTGTTTTTATATATATATATATATATATATATATATATATATATATATATAGGGTGTGAAATAATACACAAAATTCATGGTTTGGTTCAACACTTGGTTCTATTTTTTTTTTTTTGACCTAAAAAGATTTTTAAAGGTGGTAAGTCCAGACACCTTCATTAATCTTATATCATATATCCAGGCATGCCACCTTAAAAAAATCTTTAAGGTGGCATGCCGCTTGGACACCTTAAAGAATCCTGTTTTTGAACATATATGAATCATAATTGAAATTTCACATGTCACATGTCATCTTATCCCTAATTCGAGGCATTAGCCATGTGGGAACGAGCTAGCTGGATCTGCGCTTGACAACGCAACCTTAAGGTGGCGTAGTTGAGCTCAGATCCATTGAGCTTATAGCACAGAATGCATAATAAATATAATGTAGTGCGTGATAAATATACATACAAATATAAATACACATATATATATATATATTTACATACATATGTATGGATTTTAATATGCAATATGCAAATCACAGGAGAACTCTGTGATGACAAAATAAAAAAAACTACTAGAATCACTGATTTTAACAGCAACATGTGACTCACATGTTCTCAGACTTGTCCATGTCCCAGGCTCGTCTCCATTGGCCCTTCGCATTTTTATGGCGTGCCACTCTCTCCCTGTCAATCCGCTCCCGCTCTTTCTTCCACCTCAGGTACTCCTCCTGCTCCTCTCTCGTTGTGGGGACGTTGAGGTCAGTGCTGGTCGCCGGCCACTCCGGCTCCTGTTTGACCCCGTGAGATAAGACGTGGTTTTAATGCCTGGCCTTAAACGTACATTTACATACACGAGTACTTTGTGCTCGTCGGTACTGAAGCAGAGGCAGTGAGATGTGCCTACATGAAATCACCCACACCACTCAAACACACCGCAGTCAGAGCAACGGAGGGAAAGGGTTCAACGTCGAGCACAGCTAGAAAAAAAAAGAAAGAAAGAAAATCTTTGGTCTCAACAGCTCGATACGAATCATACTCTGTGCAGATTATAATCTGAGGTTAAAGAATTTGTGGATTGAGCAGCAAAACTATTGCAAAAAGTGAGACAATTACAAGTTCCTGCAACCAAGAAAAAAAGACAGCAATTAGTACTAATTAGTACTAATTAGTACTCTGTGGCAATTTACTCCATATGTAAATATGGAGATTGTTGAATGACAGACAGAGCTTTTGGAGACCAGCCCCTACTGGTCAGCAGTTGAACTGCAAACCTAACCTTTTTTCCTGTATTGGATTTTCTTTTTTTAAAAAATGAGGTCAATTTTTTATTAACTGTCTATAATTTAAAAAGAAAACATCAAGGATTTTGTTGAGATAAAGATAAAAATCCTTTTCTTTCTTTACTTTAAAGTATAAAAAAGTCAAGATGACATTAGTAAAGAGTGAAATAAGAGAACAAATCAATTACAAAAACAAATTTTCCAACCTAATAAAATCCATTAAGAATCAAATACAAAACGGAAAAAACAAATCACAGACTGTCACTGGTCTCCGCAACGGCCAATCACGGCCTGGCTGTAAATATTTAGGCTCCATTTCCTCATAGCGTGTGTCTGTGATGGAAACCAATTTTGGAGGTAATATCCCAGACTAAAGTACTGAATGGGGATTGGTCCATTTCCTTATTTCTCCCCTCACTTATCCTGACCACTGACAGCTGTGATGAGATCACGAAGAATAAGTGGAGAACGCCGAAGAGAGAGTGGAGGTGATCTGGTGCAGACTGCGACATCAAAGGGGGACAAAGACGACGTGTTCGTGTCACAGAGACCTGCAGAGAACCAGGTCTGGAAACAGTGCCGTGAGGCTCACAGGGAAATTACATAAAACACCGACAGTCTGTCAGTGCATTCTAAAGAGGCAGGAGGGAGACGATGCTGCTGTCTGGAGAAAATTTAAATTCTTCGAGATTCTTTCCAAAAAGGGAAAGAAAAAAAAGAAAAAAATTACACGCTCATCATCTGCATATTATTTCTCACCCAAACCTGAGAAGAAGAAAAAAAACTGTGAGAAAAAGAGAGACAGCACAGACACTGTTTTCCTCTCAGGTGTGGACCAATCACAGACAAGTAAACATGTTGCCTTATTTTCTGTAGGTTTGTCGTTGAACGTCTCATCTGTGCTCATCTCTGTTTTTCCCCCATCTTTTCTCCCCTTCACTTCCCGTCCTGTCCTCTGGCCCCTGGAGGGCGTTCTGGGGACACCGGGGACGTAGGTTGCATGTTCCAACAGGCTGTCTCCTGCTGCCGCGCTAGTCAGCCTGCTAATTAGCACTTTTCAATTTCTTTTTTTTTTTCTGTTGCCTTCAAGGAGGCTCACGGGGGGAGGCTGTCAGAAGGCTGACAGGTCGGGTTGAAGGAACACAGACACAGCAAGGAGAAAAAAAGAAAAAAAAAAGGACAGGATTTAATTGAACACACGGTGATATGTTTTAAAATTAAGTAAATACTTAAAATGCCACTGATCCCACTGCGATGGCCTGAATAAATATCTCATCTATTTACAAATGCCCCCGAGCAGATAACGAGCTGCTAACGAGCAGCTAACGAGCTGCTCTTACACAACACCTGCAAAGCAATCACTTGGCTTAAAGTGGCAGGAGGAGCGTGAACGGCATTAGAGGTCATGTGATGTGTTTACTGTCCCTGCTGTTGGGACGTGATCAGGTGAAGAAAAACCGCTGAGCCACAGCAGCCGATGTGAAAGGGAGATGGGGGAGGGAGGGTGAGGAGGGTGAGGTGGAAAAGGAAGTGCGTGTGATGATGATGGTAGGGAGGGTGAGGTGAGGTGAAAAAGGAAGTGCGTGTGATGATGATGGTGGTGATGGGATTTCTCACCCAAATGTGTGAGAAATCAAACATTCATGTTTGTCTCTCCTGTGTGAGGTCAGGCTCTTAAAGGTACAGTACACATAAATGTCTAATGTACAACAGTGACTACTCTTAGCCTTTTTTTCCCCTAATGGGCCACTAGAAGTGTATGCTGGTGGTGTCTCTTTTGCCGGTGAGATGTAATTTAAAGCAGGGATACCCAACCCCCGGTCTGCGGACTGGTACCGGTACTGGTGCGTAGATAATTTGGTACAGATTAGCCGCAGTTGAACACAGTGAATTTTTACAAATTTCATTCAAAGAGAATCCAATCACTATTTACTTTCTTTTTTTAAAATAATCTGTCAATATTTAAAAGTAATGCCACTGAGAAAATTCAATGATCTTTAACGATAATTCAACCACCGGTCCGCAGTAGTGGTCCAGTACCGGCCAACTGGTCCAAAAAAAGGTTGGAGACGGCTGATTTAAAGACTATCTGAGATGACGATGTATTTCCAGACCTACATTTATAGATTACCTATTAAATAAGGGGTGTTTGTTGAAGCTACGACCCAGCAAACGCACGGAAGGAACAGCTTTTCCTTCTGTTCGTTTGGGTTTTTGTTTTTGTTTAAATGAAATAAACATGTTCTACCAGCACACTGAACCTTATGACCTGGGTATTTAATCTGGATTTATAGCAGCACTTGAAAAGGGGGGGGGGGCAGAGCTACATGTCGCTGCTCTTTTATCAACACTAGGGGAATTTCCAGTATGCCAGGCCTTTAAACAGACAAAGTGTCGTACACTAAAGAGCCCAGCTCTAGTCCTGCTGAGCACCGTCAACCACCGGCTTCACCATCTACCTGGGGCCTGTCTATGGCCATATAAGGAAGGCCTGGAATCAAACCCACAACCCTTTCAGGTGTAAGAAAACTTAATTATCTACCCACTGAGTTTCAGCCCCGAATGAACAGTGATAATCATTGTCGCTGTTGCTTAAAGTTTATGGGGTTTTTTTTATTATTATCACTAATTGTTTACTTTTACCAAAACAGATTTGTAAAAAGTGACTGTAGCAAGATTTTTTTATTAAAGTGACTGCAAAAAGACGACTAAACGTTAGCCGAGTCTAAATAAAAGATGCTAAAGATATCTAATAATTTACCCCAAAACACGTAGAAGTTGGATAAAAATAAAGCAAAAAAAAAACCCTTTTTTGTTTAACTTTATGTTAAAATACAACTTAACCTAGCTAAAAAAAATGACTCAAAACATGTTTACATCAGAAATAAAGGTAATAAAGGAAATTAACGGTTAAAAAGAAAATCGGCAAAGGCAATGACAAGTGCATATATACAAAAACACACATACTCGAACAAAATTAGCTATAAATACATATATAAATGTATATATAATAACAGTTAAAAGTTGTAAAATGTTTTTGTGAAAATGGTTTAAACCCTAAAATGGTATGTTCTAGAAAAGTTCACCGACACCGAGTGTTTGTTAGTTTGTTAGCTACCTTGCATTCCTCCAGCTTGTGCTGCTCCCTTGTTTGCTTCTGCCCCTGTTTAGCAGCATCTTCCTGTCGGAGAGAGAGAGAGAAAAAAAATAAAATGTAAAATTATAATATACCTTTGGCAGAGTAACTTTAATTTTACCAAATTATACGCCGATATATCAACGCTACAAAGAAGTCAACGGAGTCGTAAATCAAACCTAAAGAGCTAAAGCTCTTCCGGATCTATAAGCTTATGTTGCCCCCTAGTGGTAAAACAATTGAATTGTATGCACTCGAAATGTTCCTCGTCATGTTTTGAATTTCTCAACAGTGATAGATGTCAGTTTTACAGGGATCTTAGTCTGAGAGCATGTGACACACACACACCCCCCCCCCCCTCTCTCTCCCTCTCTCATCCAAACTTAAATGCAGCCTCTTCTGCCCCCCCCCTCACCCTCCTCCCCATCACCACACTTTCCATCTTCCTCTCCCTCTTTGACCTCCTCCTGGCACCGTGCCAGCTCCGTCTCCGTGGCAGCATAATGAGCCTTTTTTTTTTTTCTTTTTTTTTTCCAGAGTGAGAGAGCCGTCGAATGGAACTTAGATCAAATCGACCCTTTCAGGATGGTGGGAAATGGGGCAACAATTGTGCCAGAAGAGGGCAGATGACTGAAGGATCCAGAGAGGAGACAGGGAGGCTGGAAACAGACAGTGTGCAGTCTGCAGTCTGCAGTCTCTCTCCCCCTCCCTCTCTCTCCCCCTCCCTCTCTCTACCCCTCTCTCCCCCTCCATATTTTCCTCTCACTCACTCCGTCTTGATCTCCTTTCTCCTCCTTCCTCGCCCTCATTACCATAAAGTGACGTCTGCTTTTCCAGGCGTTACAATCTGACTGGGAGACAGCCAGAAAGCCACACCCGTGTCACAGGAATTGTTTATTGCCAGCATGTCAGATGCATAAACACACACACATATATATATATATATATATATATATATATAT